TAAAAGAAAGTTAGTATAAAAAAAAAAAAAAACAAAACAAAAATACAAAAAGAAATTAAAAAATAAATGAGTATATAGGGATAGGGGTGCCATTGCTCATTAGTATGGGGTGTCTTTTTTCCACCGGACCATAGTCTTGACTAGGGGTGTTCACGGTCTGGGTTGATCGGTTTGCAGCCGTTTTAACAACCCAACCTAATGTTGGCGGTTTGAAAATTTTCAACCCAACCCAACCCAAACAAAAGTTCAACCCAACCCAACCCGTTCGGGTTGATCGGGTTGATTGAGTTATGTTTAAACTATGTAAAATCACATAAAAACAAAAGAAACTTTCCTTTGAAATACGACCGACCATTCAAGATAATATGCAAGTTCATCAAATATTTAGATATWAYAATAAAAATGTTTAAACCAAATGATAATACATCAATCAACAACAATAGTTTTAGACGTTTCCAACCCCGATGCTTTCGCGTTCTTGACGTTGAGATTGGTTATGTCATGATTGTCATCTACAATTCAAAGCTAAAGTTAAGGTCGGGTTTTTTTGGGCCTGACCCGATTCCAACCCAATAAGGTCGGGTTGGCTACATTTTTTTATCGATCATGCATCGGGTTACCTCGGGTTGGTTTTTTTTTTTAAATTCGGGTTGGGTTGGTCGGGTTCATCGGGTCTTTGAGCACCCCTAGTCTTGACCTCCAATCGAGCTACGAGGCTAAGAAGGCAACTAGCTGCTTAGCCAAACACTATCTCTGCCGATTACTTGGTTATCCAAATAAGGATACCCCGGTGTCGGTACGATTTGCGGACATGAAACATAATAAAGGCAGATGCCAAGAAATGTAGGGGTGTCATTAGCCTTCCCTTTACGGAAAATCTCAATGTGGTGTTATAGGACTCAAACTACCGACTTCTAAAAAATATCCCCAAATATCTGAACTTTATTGAAGTTTCATGATCTACATTTCCTCTTTGCACTTGATTTTTTGATATTTGTATTCAAATCATTATATTCTTTATTGCAAGTCTCTTTTGAACTTTTTAAAATTAACAAATAAATCCCTAAATTTATTAAAACCTAACGCAACTTTCGTATTTTAAGCGATTAGGTCCCTGAACATTTTTTTGAACGAATAAATCCTTACATTTGTAAACGAAGGCGATAAATATTTTTTCAATTGATGTTTATTATTTATTTTTTATATTCAAATGAGAATCATAAGAAAATTTAATAATTATTTATTTTTCAAATTCAAATGACAATCACATGATCATAACAAACACATGCGATTCTCGGTTAAATTTAAAAAATAAATAAAGGTTAATAAAAATGGTGTATTTTTTCATTTTATTGGTTTATTTACTTTTTTGTTGATATTTTGTTGATACACGGAAAAGAGGTAAATTTATTTGGGCAAATTGCATGCAAAATGTAACGTGCTTTAACTTGATTCATATTTGAGTAACATACTTTCAAAACTTCCATTTTTGGTACATAAGATGTAAAGTTTAGACATTTAAGTATCATGGCTAACCGGTTGAAGCATTAATTGGTTATGATGCTGATATGACGAGTGATGTGGTATCCAACTCAATATTATTTGCTGACGTGGTTAGTGACATGGTTTTTTTAAATCTAAAATTAGTCTTTTTTAATCTAAAATTAGTCTTCAACCCGTTAATCGGGTACTTAAATGTTTAAAACTTTACATCTTAAATACCAAAATAAAAGTTTTGAAAATACGTTACCCAAGATATGAATCAAGTTAAAATATGTTATTTTTTCATACAATTTAACCAATTTATTTCATTTATAAGTATAAAGATTTATTCATTCAAAAACATTCAATGACCTAATCGTTTAAAGTACGAAAATTCATCAAATTTTTCTTAAATTTAATAAATTTAATGATTTATTTATTCGATTGATTTATTTATTTATAAAAATAGTTTTGAGACTTGTGATACATGGTTGGTTTTTCTTTTTGAACTATTTCCATTTACATTTCATGTAGAAGCTTCTTAGAAGTTTCACCCTTTTAACATTTTCACAAATTTAGGAAACAAACAGGTTATAAATACATAATGTCGTCAGGTCTATTTTAGTGATACTGAACATCATTCACGTAATGCAGGGGGGGTACAAGTCTTATTATCTATTGTGTAGGGGTGTGTTTTGTATAAAACTGAAATTTATTCCTCATGTCGTTTTTCCACACACGTGATACGCGTTTCACAGTTTAGGATACATTTTGTGCCCCATCCAGATGACAATAATTCCAGGGAATCTTTCGATATTGTTGTTTGTAGTCACTTTTCACTTAGTACCCCTATAGTTTTCTAAATATGTAAAAATTACCCTTACTTTCTGTTTGTTAAAGTATGGGCAAAATAGTAGTTATATATTTTCTCATTACATATTTTAGTCAAAAAAATAAGTGATTTATATTACTTATATTTCGGATTTTATTAAATTTAGATTAGTTAATTTAAAAATCCGGCTCTCAACTGATATTTGGACCCTTGGCTTGTTTAGAAGTGGATTTGAACTACAGATACAAGTAATTTCAGTGTTTTATTCTAATCAGCTAAGCTATTTAAACTGCTTTCTTAAAATAAGTTTTATTAGTTATTTTACCAGAAAAAATAACAATGCAAAAACAACTCTCAGATGTTTAAACCATCTTTAGTAGGTCATTAATTTTATCGGTAATATCAGTAATTTTTATATCAAAAATGGTTTGTGAATATTAAAGTTTATTTAAATTATTTTGTTCATTTTTTCGTAATTATAAAATGATTCTATAGTTATGAGATATATGTATTTATTTTAAAAGCTTTTAAGGGTATTTGGTTCATACAGATGAATGAAAATGAGTATGAAAATGAAAATGAAATGAAAACGATAGTTAATGAATTTTTATTCCCCTCAATTTGACCTGAAATAAAATTCTGGACTTCTGAGAAAATGGACTCATTATATTGTATAAATTAAAACAGTTTCTTTTATTTCTATTTTCATTAGTTACTGTTTAATACCTCTTACCTATTGTCAGAATGATATTTCATTGGTTAAATTAACTTGAACAATGAACCATATCAAAGTATCAAACACAGATATAGTTGGGCTGATCATAATTTTGATCCAAACCATGTTTTAAGAACCGTCATAATGATATTTTATATTGGAGTAGCTGGTAATCTACTTCGTATACAAAAGTACCTCAAACGTTGTTAATATAGAGCTTGCTTGTTATCAGCTTAATGAGTTTAACGAGATTCACAATTTATTCGGTTAACTAAATACAATTGTTTAGTAGTGACTTAATGATATAGAAAATGACTTGTCCAGTATGCTTCCAAGGGGGAGCTTTATGTATAAAGTCAAAAAAGAAATTCCAAACCTGCCCCTACCAATTAAAAAATGCGCTCCTTCTATCTATGAAAAAGATCTCATAAACAAAAATCTTCCCAATCTATATAGATAAATTAATCCGCACAGATAACTTTATTCATGCATGACTTAATGGAAAACCAACCAAACAACCTCATAGTCTCATGTAAAATAGTCATTACATGATTTAGTTTTTATCTAATTATATATGTTATAACATTTAACCGAATTATAATTTTTTAGACTTTTACTCTTTTAGCTAATTTGACAATCCTGATTAAGGATTTCGAAGAATGTTTAAAAATTATTCCATTTAAGTTAACTTCATATGTTACTTTGTCATTTTAAATTATTTTTATTTATAAATTTTTTAATATATATATATATATATATATATATATATATATATATATATATATAATGGAAAAGATCAAGAGAAAACCTTGAAAAAAAGAGATAACCAGAGAACTACGAAAAAAAATGGATGAAAATATATCAAATATAATGTCAAGCTGTAAATGATAAAGTTATCGTATTTTTTTGGTGTAATTTGTTTTGCTCTAATTTTTTTTATGTTTCACCAATTTTCGTTTCAAAAAATGGTGAGTGATATTTTTGTTTTTCTAAAAGATGGTTATAACCACCTTTTTACCTATATCCGTTGGACCATCTGGATGAGTTTTTCGTTTTCTTTTCCATGGTTCTCTCTTGGTCTCAACCCATATTTTATATACTAATTGTCCCATTGATCTATAGTCTTAGACGGTGTTTATTTTTCAAGAGGTGCTGAAGTCTGATTTCACTTTTGATTTATAAGAAGTCATTCTGAAGTCTGGATCAGTAAGATTGTTTGTTTTTACGTCTGAAGTCTAAAATCTTAATAAGTCAAACTAGTGCAAAGATATAAAAGATAAATAATTTTTTTTTTACAAAAGTATAAAAGATAATTAGTTTTTGTTAACAAATCTCTTCCAACCCTCAAAATATGAACCATTTAATAGAGGGCGGATTAGGATTAAGAGGTATTAAGAGATACGTTTACCACTTAAAATTTCAGAGGACATTTAGTGTTTTTAAGCTCTTATTTTAGAAATAAAACAAGCGTTCATAATACCAAAACGTCTGAACAAATCAGATTTCAGAGGTATGAAGAGGTAATTTTGAAAAAAAACAAACAGTACCTTAATATCTATATGTAAGAGGGTCTCTAAAACAATGAAATACCCTCGAACCTAAGTATCTAATTTTCAATAAGTTATTTTTTAATATTTTCACCTCAATATTTTATAATATAATATAGATATATGCATATTTATCATCCAAAATAACGTTTAAAAAAACACAATGTTATCACGACCACACCATTTTGAACCTTTAAATACATCTATTATACATCACCATGCAACAGAAGTTATGTGATTCGACATGAAAATGGGTGTGCTTGAAGTCTAAACGTGAATATGGCCATTGCCTACTCTTATAATATAAGATATAAGACCAACTGTATCAGATATTGTACGTTTTGTGCACACACCTGGACTCATGCTTTTAAAATGTGTCTGATAGAAAAGGTATCAAGTCCTTTATAAGGCAACATTCGTTCTCTTCCTCTACAGATGTGGGATCTTACTTGTAAACACAGAACTGATTTCAATGCACAAAGTAGAATAATAATAGATTATATTCACATAGCTTACAACAATACCAAGAAGAAAGAAGTATGATGGAACAAGTACAAAAATGCTACGAAATTGTATCATCAATTTCATGTTCATTTTCAAGCACAATTGGCATGTACACAGCATCTATTAGTAAGCTGTGTTTCCTTCCATAGAATACATACACCAATACGCCAATCGCCAACCAAACCGAAACTCGGATCCATGTACCACTTCTGTAGATTTAGCAATCTTCCAATTAACATAACATAAAAGACTAAACATAGGTAAGAGTTTCATATTTTTAATAGTGTTTGGTAAGTAGATGGGACTTGACAAGACTGAATGGGTAAGAGTGAGGTAGAAACATGAAAAAATTGTACAAGGTTTTAATTTGACATGGGTAGCTTAGTTATTTACCATCTTGTCCCGTCTTCCTGATTTTTGTCCCACTCAATCATGTTGTGTTAGTCTAACGTCATACCAAACATGGCAACTTTTTTTTTCCCTTGTCATGTCTAGCGTACCAAACACACTAAAGAAACTAAAAGCAATGAACTCACCCAAGATTAATAAGAAGGTAGGTGTTGACAAGAATACATGCAACAGGCAGGAAAGGCACAAAGGGGCAGAGGAAACCTGAAAACAAAAAGTAAAATGTGAGGCCATCAAGTTTCCAACTTTGCATCTTGATGTATGGTTGTGGATAACTAAAACAAAAGGCGAGTAATCGCAAACGTATACGACAAACGAGTTTATGAGGGTAGTAACAGATAGGTATCTATCACAATAGGATAATTCTACCTTCAAATCATAAAACAACTCCACATCTGACTTTTGAATGTAGTATTAGTTATTTTAAACTTGACAAGTGAGAAAAGAAACTTTCTTTCAGTAGAAATACCGATAATCACGTTTAATCATGTAGTACAATCAAAATATTTTGGACACAAAATCCTTAAAATAAAAAATGGGGCGTCTTTCGTGATGGAGTAGTAATTTGTATCTAACTTGCTGGGGAAACTCAGGTTATTGAAAGATTGAAAACTAAATGCTTTTATATAAATGAATGCACATATCTTCTTCTCTTCCCTATTTCTCCTAATAAAGTACTCCCTCCTTCCAAAAATAAACGTCCACAATGAAAAAGGCTTACAGTTTTAGAAATGTATAATTATTGCACTCTTTTTGTAAATAAATGACAACTTTACCTTCTATAATAGAAGTAATGGATTTCTATATTAAGATTAAGGGTATAATTGGAAAGTAGACACTAAAATAGAAATGTGGACACTTATTTTTGGACGGATGGAGTAATAGCGAAAGGGGTGAGCCTACCATCATCAAGATCTATGCATACAAACGTCAATAGATTATATATTAATATATGTACCTCCAGTTTCTCCAAAGGTGAGTCTAGCATCATCCTGATCGATGCAGGCCAAGACAGCCAGACCACAGAGCAGAGCAACACCTCCTATCCCACACAAGGTGAAGCGAGGAACACTGAAAGGATTGAAGTTAGTGAGTTTTGCCACATATAGATATTATATACTTACAAAAACAACCAAATCGACTTCAAGATAACGACATACGTGGGAATGTTTTTCGCTGAAGCAGCAGATGCAAGCACAAGTACTCCTGCACAAACAAGAGCTATGTTCCAAGCAGCGATTTTCCGTCTTCTTGCTTCATGTACTTTATCCATGCAGTGAAATAGAACGAAATTAGTGTATAAAAAAAACATTTAAAAAAAACGAAATAATAGTCAGAATTTTAACAGTTTAATTGCATAATTAATCTTCTTCCTGTGATTGGGTAAAGACATAAGAACTTTGTCTATGAACAATCTTAAGTTGAATTTCTAGGTCCAATAAGACTTGTATAAAGGATGGCCAATTGGCCATGCTCCATGTGAGACCATGAGCCTCTTTCTGCTAGTGAACATTAAGGATTAAGACTTAAGAGTCTCTTATAAAACGCTGTTTGAGGACCAATTCAACAACTCCGTAATATATTTTAGGCAGTAGCTGAAAAACTTAAAAAGGAAGGACCATACGAGAATTGAAGCATACATTGCTGCACCTTTTTGAGTATGATAGCCGCTCCCAACATCTATAGGATTTTCTCTGTTAATATCTGTAATATAATTATTGAATTCTGAGGAGACTACATCAATCGATTCTGGGGGTGGTGATTGCAGGAGGTTGAAATCTGGAGGAGTATATCTGAGTATTAATATTGAAACTGCAACAGCGGTAAATGCCAACAACGTACCCACACTAACCTGCAGGAAGAAGTAGTAAAATGCCTAGTTTATACTGTGTTACTTGAAATCTTCAAAGAATAATTGTCACAATCATTTCGCAGCCAACAAACAATTTCAACTTACCATGCCTGCTAATTGGTCAACATTCATAGAAAATGCCAGGCATGCAATAAAGATTCCGGTTGCAATTGTACTCTTGACTGGAACATGAGTGTGCTTATTTATATCTGAAAAGAAAGATGGTAGTAAACCATCCCTGGCCATTGCCATCAAGATCCGTGGCTGAAAAAAAGCAAGAAAGGATGATTATATGAAGAAACAAAATCCTGAGCACTGTACAAGTAAAGGATTTTGTAACAAATGATGGTATCAAAACCAGAAGTTAAGAGAAATATTATCTATTCTAGGGGTGATATGGTGAAGGAGAACATAAGTAAATGGGATGGAAGGGAAAGCACATAAAGTCAAGAAGTTTATTGGGACAACCATGTGAACTCATGCCCTTACATAGAACCACACACACACATATAGTAGAAGAGAATATAAACAAGGGCGGCGAAGGATCGTGTGAGAAGGAGTGTTAAGGTGAGAAGCGTAAGAAGGGATCTGGACCCTTGATCACCATTAATCTCAAACCCACCCATGAATCGCGCTTGATACGGGGATTGATCCGATGCATCTCGGTGCATCTCGTCCTAATGTGCATCTAAGGGCAGAGATCCCTTCTTACGCTTTTCACCTTAACTCTCCTTCTCACCGGAACCCAACCCAACAAGGGCACCGTATGTCTCATTCACCAACATCAGCCATTGTGTGGTACAATGGTGGAGTGGAGAACCAATACAATTATTTTTTTTCAGGCACCTGCAATCGTGCAAACTGCCAAATGGAACAATGGCATATACCTGAGGAAGGATTCCACCGATTAAAGCAGCACAGAGAGCAGTAACAGCTCCAATTGTTATAATGTATCTGCAATCATGATGGTGAAAAATAACGTAAGATGTAATGCAATTTTCATTAATTTAATTGGAGTATCAAGACAAAATCTCATGCTTACACTGCCCAATTCATCCCATAACTAGCAAATGCCGAGGCGATAGGGGTGTCTGGGTCTAACGCGGAACACGGAACCAAGCCAATCACAACAGCAGATACAAGCATATACAAAACACAGCATGTAAACAATGACACCCCAATACCAATAGGTAAATCTCTCTGAGGATTCTTCACCTGTAATAAGAAGTTAACATCACTAAAAGGAAAATGCTGTCAGATTTTTATTCATTTTCTGTTGAAGTTGCCAAAAGGAACAAGGTGAATGTTTATTTTCAGCATGCAAATCCTCTTGTAATTTGCAAAAAATTCTCTATTGATTTCAATGTGTACGCCAACACAGTAAGTAGGGCAATCATTAGAGAACAGAGGGGTAACTTATCAAGAAGTGGATTTAATGTTTCCATCAAATTGTTTCTCAATCAAAACTGGATGCATTAATATGAATTGACATGAGATCTAAGCCTGCTTGAACAGTTAGATACTCAAATTTTCACTTCAAAGGACAACTACACCATGATGTTATTAGACTAAGGCTTTCATATAACCATATCATCCTACAAATACTGATAGTTGTAACTGATACAATTTCATAGATCATAGCTTCAGCTGTCTACAATTCCATCACTCATTTTAATCATTTCTTATACGATGTCTTAGATACTCGGCTGTCAGAAAAAAATAATCACACACACTAATTACCTCTTCAGCTGTGCTAGTTACCGCATCAAAACCGACGTAGGAGAAAAAAACTGTTGCAGACCCAGCAAGTACTCCATTAGCTCCAAAAGGGAAATACCTACAAACTCAGAAGGATGTTTTATGCGATTTGTTATACCTCCCAAGGGTACAATTATATTTTAAATCACAGGAAAAAAATAATTACCCGCCAGCAACTTGATATCCAACCCATTGAGTCTTGAAACCTACATATCCACCGGCTACTATGACAAAAAGCAAGGCTACAACATTTACAGTTGTAATTATGCCTTGTGCCAGTGAACTCTAAAAGCAAGCATTTTATCAATACAAAGCCAATATAAAAGCAAATAAGATAAATTTATGCAAAGAAATATAACAATATGTCATTAATCCAAAGGAGCACCTCTTTGATTCCAGTGCACAATAGTCCAGTTATAATGAAGACCAAAACAGCGGCACAAGGATCAACTACTATTCCAAAAATAGTATGACGAGCTAAGAAAGCAGGCAGCCTATCTTGACCTCCAAAAAACAAAGCCTGCCCATTGTGAAGGAAGACTTGAAATTAGAAATTGAAAAGGATTAATTTTTTTGGGTTGAATCTTGGAAGTTGGAACTGGTTTGATTTCAGGATACGCAAATCACAGAAGTGAGACAACATTAACGAATATGAATTCGATAAGATCTGAACTCAAAACTAACTAAATCATCCTTCATCCTTCCTCAATACCACAAAGCTATGTTACAAGAATATGGGTGAGGGATAAATGGATACCAAGACTCCCAATTTCCAAAAACCTGGGATATGACATGTGTTAAATGTGTGCATGCATAAATAAATTTAAAGCCAAGTAGCCAACCCAATAAAAGAAAGAAGTTGTTTCATGACACATTATAACCTAAGTCGTATCATGCTTTGGCTTCTACTTACTTATGTCCATATTAGTCCAAACTATGAGAAAGATTAACTTCTTGTATGGTCTCATTCTTTCTCATTCAACTCATAAAACTTAAAGCTTGTTTTTTATTTGTCTTCTTTTCTAATTTTGCAAGTTATAAATTTTCATTTCTTTTTCTTGGTAAAAGAAAAACTTAAATTGCCCTCGTGTATATGCATGAATTTGTGACCAATAATTCAGATACGACCACACCACATGGGGAACATGTCCGGAAGAACAACACCCCCAAGGCACCTGATACAAGGATCCAGCAAGGGGAGAAGAACCCCTGCTTCCTAGCCAAAAAGTTAAGGAGGGTATGGTTGATGCTACTGACCAAATAAGATTTACATAAATGCAGTGGCCAACCTCATTCTGATATAGCAGCCCCAATACATATGAGGGGAACGAGGGAAAATCCTTGTTTGATCAAAGGTTTGGGATATCATTAATTAGAGGCTGCAGACTAAACGCTAACCGAGTAAGCACTTATCGGTAAAAGCTACCACCCTAACTTACCTTATCGGGTAAGATTCCCGCCCATCAAAATGGCATAGTAAGATTGTTGGCAAGTGTCTCTTACCCAGTAAGCGCTAACTGGGTAAGAGTCACCACCCTCACTTACCGTGTAAGATTGTCGGTCCTGCCATTCTCACCCAGCAAGGAAAGTGACGATCTAGGGGTTTACCCGGTTACCATTGTAATGATCTTTTACGTATATGTGGGTTAATAACTTATCCCAAGGTAGATAATATATGTATGGAGAAAGAGATAGCTCCTGAAGACGATGATATTTGATGGCCTTAACACTTAAGTTATCATAAGATTGAAGATCTAACAGGAGTACATAAACAAAGGAGAAGCAAATGCACTGCACCATATTTGGGGAAATGCCACGAGCAACGGCTGCTCCACCAAGTGTATATTCCAATATCAGAGACCAACCAATCAACCAAGCAACACTGAAATCCAAAGCCACAAATTGTTCATTTGCAAAAAGAACCAAATATGGAAATTAGCAAATATCGCTCAAAGTAACATGTTCTAGAAAGGGAATGTACAACAATTCATGTAAACTTACTGTGCCTTGAAATTATTTGAAGAATAGATTTATTGTTTGGAAATACGCATGACATTGGAGTTTTAGAAGTCATATGGAAAAATTATGATATACGGGCTTACCCTTCTCCAACACATAAGTACGAATAGTGATATGCACTCCCAGCAGATGGACAACGACAGGCGAGTTCTGCATAACACAATGCTGAAAGCCCAGCAGCTATTCCAGCGATGAGGAATGATATTGTTATAGCAGGCCCTGTTTGCCCTTTAGCAACTGTTCCGACAAGAATATAAACTCCAGCTCCGATTGTTGCTCCAACTCCTAAAAAAGTGGTTTCTAGTTAATTGAAAGCAATATATCCACACAAAATACACACATACATACATACATACATAATTATTTTGTTCAAGTTTTTACTAACAACCCAGAAGCAAGTGTCGTCTAAATGCAGCAAAACAATTTTATCATCTCATTTGTATAACAGTAAATGGTGCACCCCTATTACACACATAAATGAGTCAAGAGTAAAGTGACTACAGCTACAAGGAATGTAGTCTTAGAGAGGGATATGATGCTCCACATCAAGTAGCCAGTTTCAGATAAAGTGGACACTAACAAAAAGCATTTTAGCAAAGCTAGATAGAAAATGCTTTTAGGTAATGCAACACCAGGCATCTTCATTTTAACCCTGGTCTTTCATGTCCAATGATTGCAAACATATACAAAATGGACACGAATAAAAAGCATTTAGCAAAGTCAAAACAAAAATGCTTCCTGATGGGAATGAGCAACATCAGGTGTCTTCCCTTTAACCCCGGTTTTCATGTCCATTAAATGCAAGGTTGTGTCTAATAGAACACATAAAAGAAGTACATCCATGCATAAGAGTTTCTTAAAGCTAGTTAACTTACTAATAGTAATAATTTCCTGACCGCAATTCATTTCAGCTCAACTCTGTGACAGACTGACAGTATAACCAGTAATACGGTCTAGAAAGCATACATGACTCGTGTAAAACAAACCAAAATATCTCAATTTTTCATATTAACTATTGATTAGAAGTATTTAAACTTATGAACTTCAACACATTCTTCAATTTGTAAGATATGAAAATAATTGTCTACTAATTTGTTCTCAATCCTGATCCTGCTTAACAAATATGAGGAACCCTGAACCCTAACTCTCTGTCATCTTTCCTATAGTCCACCACCTGCAGACCCAGAAACCGTACCATGCACTTCATATTCGATAAATATCACCTAAATACTGGAGCTACGTTATCTCCGATTGAAAACCTTGAATTCCAGTTTAAGTAAGATCCTCTTTGAAATTTACAAAATAATAAAATTCAGCATTTCAACTCCTCCACCCTAGTAAATTCAATAAGCAATATATATTCTTTACAAGTCTTCGTCTATGGAGGTATACGATATCATATCAAATTCATTGCATCATTATACTGGAAAAGGGTCCAACACGTATAAAACAATCCAAACCTTACATAAATCTCGCTCGAATATAAATTTAAAAAATCATTGAACAATCAATAAATATAGAAATGTAATGATACGTATGTTGATTGAAATTTTACCAATGGCGATGAGATCAAAAACAGAGAGACGTTTAGCCAACTGAAAACCCTCAGCTCTAGCGACATTTGAATCAACCTGCTTCCTCCTTACTAAACATCCCACAAATCCACCCCAACATTCTCCAACGCAGCCTCTAAGCTTCTGCATATCAATTGCAATTCAGTTTAACAAACTAACAGGAATGTGTGGTTTGTTGAAGAAATCTGGGAAGATTAAAACCCCAAATCGCGCATGGAGTATCGATAGTGAACGTTGTCAGCTGACCGGTCACGCAAGATCTTGCACTTTCGCAGTCTGATTATATATAATACGTTTGCGGAGGGTATGCTGGCATCCGATCCAATCTTATCCTTTCTTCCTGCATAATGTACTTGTACGGTACATGTTTTTGTTTCGGTGATGAAAGGACCATTTTGTCATTTCACCACGTATTTAAAATTTAGGTTTAAATTGAGTTTTAATTGAATGGGTCGTTGGGGTTTGATGAAAATTACGCTTCTCATATCTACGATTTTAAAATTATAAAAATGTCCGGATCTGATCCCTCTTTTTAATAGCAGTTAAAATTTGATGGGAATTTCATTTTTTTATCGATTTTTTTTACCCAATCAACGATCAAAAGGACCTAAATTATAAAACCGATTTTAATTGAGTAAAAGTAAAAAATCAATAAACATGAAAATATCCTCTGTTTAATAGAATTTTTAACAACTGTTAGAGAGAGGGATCAGATCTAAATATTTTTAAAATTTATAGTAGTTAGTTTGTAATTTTAAAACTATAAAGATGATAGAGTACATAGATCAAATTACTCTTATCTATAGTTTTTTATATTTGATAAATAATATTTATTGAATAATATATAATGTTTTTATCAACAATTTTTTGCCAATAAAAGTTGCTCGTTACCAAAAGCTTATTTAGATAAGCATTTACCAAGTTATATTACCTTACCGGATTAATATGATAAGTACCAAAAATCTTATCCGGTAAGAACGAGGCAAAGACCGAGAGTCTTACCCGGTAAGTGAGAGTAATGATTCTTACTACCGTCAGCTCTTATCAGATAAATTGTTGTATAGAAAGTCGTTTTTGTTGACTTAAATCAAACCCTCTCTTCGTCCAAGGCCTACTGTTGCCCAAGTCACCCTCTTTGTGTACCGTTTCCCACTCTACCCCCTTCACATTCATGGTTTTATGTAATATTGACGTCATTAAATTTCCAATAACATTGTAGAATACACACGTTGAATTTCTTAGATAAACGTGTTTGTATTCACTTAAAAGTATCATTTCTTTCATACTGCATGAGCAAACTTCTCGCATATTATTCGCTCCTTATAGTACACACATTGATTGTAATCTAACTGGGATGATCCACTTTGTCATGCTCTTACAATAACCTTCTTACATGCTCGTATGACAAACTTCTATTTAGATCATGACGACTTACAAACATCACTACCGTTGTGTTAGTCCACTATATTCCATGAATCATAAAACTTCAACAACTTTACGTACATGCATGCATCAAACATTTGTAACATGAACCACAAGGGTGGTGTCTGATTGGTTTGAGCTTGACTCCAAAGGTCAAAAGTACCTGGAGATCCCAGGTTCAAATCCAAGGAGAAATAAAAATCCTCTTGTGGCCACGGAGGTTCAAATGTGGTGACTCCGGGCTATCTGCAAAGCAGGTGGTCGCYCTGAGATTAGTCGGCTTGCATAGCGGGTTGGATATCCAGGTTAATTAAAAGAAAAACATTTGTAACATGTTTAATATAACATTAACAAACATAATCTCGTAATAAAAACATTTATTGCATGCATAAAAAATTGCATATAAAATTCACATAAGATTCTCAGTCGTAAAAGCTTACATGAATGCATTCTCATTACTCCTATTTCTATCTAACCTGAAATGAAAATCAGATTTCTAAAGGAAACAAACTCATTATATTATATTAAAACCATACCATTTTAATTAAGTCTTGTATAGATAAATTTGTCTGTCTAAATAAATTTATCTATCTAGATAAAAATATGACATTCAAAATGTGTAAGATTAACAAATGCTTAAAAAACTTATTAAGTACATAATTATATGTTAATGTGGTTAGACATTATTAATATTAGTTTTTTATTATTATTTTGTAATGAAATATTTAAATTACTAATCAATTACTCAATTAAGACTTAAGATATGTATAAATAAATTATAACAAATTTAAATTAAAAATTGCTTATTGATTAAAAATCAAATTATCAAATGATGAGTGAAGAGTAAGGGGTTGTTTACTAAACGCTTACATGGTAAGTGCTTATCATATAATTATCTTTACCGGATGAACATGACAAATGTCAAAAATCTTATCCAGTAAGAGTAATGATAAAGATCGAGAGTTTTACTCGGTAAGTGAGAGTGACGACTCTTACCTAGATAAGTGTTTACTGTGTAAATTGTTGCATATGATACCATTTTTTTATTAACCTGAATATCCAACCCGCTAAGCGAGCCGATTAATCACAGGACGACCACCTGCTTTGCATATAGTCCGAAGTCACCGCATTTGAACTTCCGTGTTAGATCAAATTTCCACTAACTATTATAATAAAAACCTTCTCTAATACGATAACCTTTTGAATAACAATAAAATGGAGGGAATGGATCTATTATTCTCAATAATCATAAACCCTTTATACACGTATGAGTTACATGTAGTAATTACAAGTTATATCAGTTATAATCTATCTTCAATATGTCTATATCTGTCTATATCTTTACCGTCATATCATTTAGATGGTAACACATTTATTCTATAACATTGAAAAGTTCTTTTATCATTTAAAATTTAACATTTATCCTCTTCTATTTAAATTGTCTTATATAACCCCTCAAAAAAAAAACCATCATAAATACATTGTATTTAATTGTCACAAAATATTTTATTATACGTTAGTTGTTCGTTTGTCATATCCATGACCGTTCTTTATCTGGTAAATGTGTGATTTCGATCAACGTCCTAAATTTTGGGACCGATTTTACATTGTCTAGGGTCTTCCATAAAAGAAAGACGATAAAAACATACAAAAAATATGATGACAAAGATACAAAAATCAATTTGTCAAAAAAATAAAATATGACAAATTTATTATATGATTTTTATATTTTTGTCATTTTTATCGTCTTTCACAAAAGCTTTTCAATAATATATTTTGTTATGATTTTATTATAGATATTTAATAAATTAGATTAATTAATCAAAATATAATAAGATATAAAATTAAAATATGATTAAAGGAGGACGTAAAATGAAAATTTAATTACAGAAGGTCTTGACTCCAAAATAGATATGGCCAAAAACCGGTCAGGAGTCGGTCCCAATCAGTTCTCATCTTTCTCATAATCGGCCATAACCGGTCCCGGCGTAACCGGTCCCGGTCTCAGTCCCGGTCCCAACTGAAAATGATAGGACCGGTCAAGGTACTTCATAACCGGTAATGGGCTGTTGGTCTCGGTCCCGGTCCTTGCATTAAAAAAATAAGTTTTTATTTTTTATTTTTTTAATGATATATATTTTTAATACATTATAAAATTTGCAATTGGATCACTCAAATACACTTTAAGAATGCGTTTTAATATAATTAAAATTACGTTTTTCTTATAAAAATACATTATAAAATTATTTAAAAATACATTTATTTATAAAATTATTTGAATTTTCGGGCCGGGCCGGGCCGGTCCATAGTCGGTCCCATAACCGGTCCCGGTCCCACGAAACTATAAAAAACCTCAACCGGTTCCGGTTTTCGGTCCCATAACCAGTCCTTACCGGTCCCGGTCCTCCGGCGGTCCCGCGCCGGGCCGGACCGATTTGGCCATCTCTACTCCAAAACGTTGTAGTTCTCTAACCTTTTCAACAGAAAAACTCTTAACTCCAATACATCAAAACCTTTTTAAACTAGTAAAAACCATCAATCGGTTATACAAATGAGTTAATGTTACGTCTCTTATCTTGTCAAATATAGGACAATAGATTATGTTTTATCCCGTCTAGTAGCAAGTAAATGAAATTGTCTATTTCTTTTTGATTAATCTAAACTAAAAACTGTTTATTTATTTTGAAAGACCATAAATTAAGGGATTGTTTGACAGTTGTTGAATGGTTTGGTGCAATATGATTAAATGATCATAATGATTAAGAAGTTTTCATGATATAATGTAAAATAAAATATTATTGTTTGATAATTATTTACCATAAAATCAAGACGCTTAATGATTAAGAGAGGTCCATGATATAAAATCATTAAGAAAGTTTTAGAATCATTTAGAGACAAACTTTTTTAGAACCATTTAAGAGAAGTTTTTTTTTTTACCAAACAAATTTCACTTCTTAACAATTCAGATGCTGCATCTTACTAAGGGGCTGTTTGGCAATTGCTGAATGGTTTGGTACAAAATGATTAAGTGGTCAAAATGATTAAGAAGATCTCATAATATAATGCAAAATGAAATATAATTATTTGGTAATTGTATACAATAAAATTAGGACTCTTAATGGTTATGAGAATCCAGAATACAAAATCATTCAAAGAGTTTTAGAATTATTAAGAGACAGACTTTTATTTTGTCAAACAAAATTAATCTTTTAATGATTTAAAAATTACCCGATAATGAAACTATGAAAAAATAAACAAACAACCCGACACCGATGAATATTTGGCAAACGTTTTCTTTTATAATTCTTACCAGGAGACTCGGATTTTAACTTGTAAAATCGATCTCAAAACATCGCCAATTTCTGCCCATCGTTCTAGATAAAGGATCTTTCTTCGAAAAATTCCCCAAAATAAAGATTTATCCCTTTGCCTCTTCCTCCCGATTCCAGAAAAAGGGTATCTGTTACTAGTACCAGTACCCTCTTAATTCTTCGCTCAAAATCTTCACTCAGTTCATATTTCATTTTGGCTTAATGCCCATGTACTTTGTAGGTTATGCAGCATCATATTCCATCAGGGTCTTCAAGTGTTTTATTTGTTTAAATTTGTTGTAGAAATTGAATCGAATCGAATTTGGAATGGGTACGCTCACTAGCTGTAGTTTCACGAGTACACTGAATTTAGGGTTCCGTTTAAGACCTAATCGTATTGATTTGGCGGGGCGGTTTCGACTTCACGACAGGAGGAATGATGGGTCTAGGAAGAACAGTTATATTTTGTGTAGTAGAGAGCTATTATCGAAAAAGAGGCGGAGAATTATAGGTTTAGATAGTGATAATAAGAGTTTTATTGGTGGATTTGAGTGTTCTGCTAGTGGTCGTGATGATAATAATGACAGTAGTGGCAATGGAGGAGAGGACAGTGATGTGTCTAAGGATTCAATTTTGGCAACAATTTCACCGGAAGAGACTACCGCTGGTGGTGAGGCTGATTCCGATAAACCGGTGCCTCCGCCTGCTTCTATTTCATCCAGGGTGAGCTTCTCTGAGCTTTTACCTTTGCTCTAATTTTACTTGTTTTTGGGTGATTGAATTTGTAAACCATTGTGAAGGACCATTGGTATTGAGAAAATGGAAAAGAACGATCGACTGTGGAGAGAATTAAGAACGTTTTAGTTCGTCCATTATTGTTCATTTGTGCAAGCTAAATAATATATTGGACACTGTCATATGTTAGTTTGCAATGAAAACCATATATAATGGTTCAAAAAGGAATTCACTTCTTTTTCAACAAACAAACAAATCGAGGAGATGGATTTCTAGAGTTACAAATTATGTGAAAAATCGAAGAAACAAACCGAGGAGAGGGTGAGATGGTCAAGTTTCTGATTCCACCCAAATTGGGGAGGAATGGTTATTACACCCAAGTAGTATAATGACTGATTGCATTATATAAAATCATGCCGTTCCCATTCCCTGATCGAACCAAACACAATCAATGATTATCATTCCAATTCCCGAACTAATACCCCAACCAAACGGCCCTAAGTTTTGTTTGGTAAAAGAGATGCAGGTGTGATACAAAATATGGATGAGAACCGAAGCTTGGTAAAATGTTAGCCATGGAAAGAATGATAGACATTGAAAGATCATATGAATTTTCTTTGGAATGTAACTATAATTTTCTTGGAAATGCCGGGAGAAAAAAACTATACGGTTTGCATGAAAGAGTAATTTTCGACAATTTCTGCAAATATAAATGCAAAAAGGAACCCATCATACTTGGCACTTTATGTTCAAAATCACTCATCTTTACTAAATACAAGGTTTCTTGTTTTTTGTATATGCAATAACGATGGTTTGTTTGCTATGGAAGACCAAAAATGATCGTTTGGAAAGTCAATCACACACTATGGAAGTATAAAACAAAGTAACCTTGGTGTCCTCAGTTTAGATCCCACACTTTGGCTTGCACAACTGAAGGCTATAGGTGGAATGAAAAGGACTGGCTTAAGTTCATTGTAGGATGAAGACTGAACACCGTTCATACTGCAAATTTACTAAAATTTCGTCCTAAAAGTTGTTCTATAAATGCAAGTATTATAATTGAGATCCTCCATCATAAGGGAGTCATGAAGTGCTGGATCTAATGCACCATCTTTCTTTTTTGCAGCCTCCATCAATATCTCCGATTGGATCAGCATATAGCAACTTTCAAGTTGACTCTTTTAAGCTAATGGAGCTTCTGGGACCAGAAAAAGTTGATCCTGCTGATGTAAAGCTCATTAAGGACCATCTTTTCGGCTATTCAACGTTTTGGGTAACAAAGGAGGAGCCGTTTGGAGACTTGGGTGAGGGTATTCTTTTTCTTGGAAATCTTAGGGGAAATAGAGAAGATGTTTTTGCCAAACTCCAGAGTCAATTGGCTGAAATCATGGGTGATAAGTATAACCTATTCATGGTAGAGGAACCCAATTCAGAAGGACCAGACCCACGTGGTGGGCCACGAGTTAGCTTTGGTATGCTGCGGAAAGAGGTTTCAGAACCCGGGCCAACAACACTTTGGCAATATGTTATTGCTTTCTTATTGTTTGTTCTTACCATTGGTTCCTCTGTGGAGCTAGGAATCGCCTCTCAGGTATCTTACTATACAGTATGCCTCGAAAAATACTTTCTCACAACTCCCTTATCCCAAAATAAATGCAACATTTGATTTGGGACATTTTGATGAGTTTGGGCTTGACTATTATCACATTATCAAACAGTTATCCTCTGTAGGCAAATTAAATAAAGTGATCGCAGAACTTTAATTGGCAAAAAGATTGTCAAATTGGATGTTTAGATTCTCACAATCATATTAATTACATCAGTTCTGTCCAATTGTCATCCATATTGGCCAACTAAAATCAAGATTTAGGGAGTCTAATTAGCCAGTAAATTAAATCTACTGTTGAGAACTAGAGCATAGACCATTGACTATTTAGTACTTGGATTTGCGAGATCCTATCTTAAGTGAATGGAAAGGATGTAACCATATGATTGTGAGAATTTAAGTATGTGATTGGTAAATCTTTTTTGTGAGGTATCCAAGAAAAGAACATAAAAAGTTCAATGATCACTTATCTATTTTTCCCCCTCAGTGAGGACAAACTAGAGGGATCTTCTGGACCAAAATCAATGTTATCAATATATTGTAATGATTTCTGAAGAGCAAATAAGTAAACATTACAAGCTTACCCAAATGGGAAATGTTAAACTTTTGGGACAATTCAAAGAATGAAATTGTTGCAATTACTTGTGGAAGAATGAGCAACTATTTTTTCTCGTCTGATGAATCAATCCAACATTATCTTGTTAATGGATATCTATGTGTTGGGCAGATAAATCATCTTCCTCCTGAGGTAGTTAAGTACTTCACAGATCCTAATGCCATTGAACCACCAGATATGCAACTGCTTTACCCATTTGTAGAAGCCGCCTTGCCACTGGCATATGGAGTTTTGGGGGTTCAGTTATTTCATGTAAGAGAATCCATTTTTGGAACTTGTCAATATTTTCTTTTTTAATCTTACTTCCTTGTTATATTCAGGACTGGAAGCAAAAAAAAAACCGAGTTTTGGTAGATACATGCACTTATGTGGCTGTTTTTAGCTTACTTGGTTTTTTGTTGCCAAACTACCACCATTCTTGCGGGAATTTAGAAATAATGCTATACTTTGTAAGAATGAACGGTTTTGGACAATTTATGGAAATTAAATGCAAAAAAAGCCCTTGTCCTTGGCACTTTTTGTCCAAAATTACTAGTCTTTGCAAGGCACCGTTTTTTCTTCCTTTTGAATACGGGTAATGATTTTTTCTACAACAAGAAACAAAATGCAATGGTTCAATAAGACACCAGATTTAGTAGAAGAGAATTTTCTTAACGGATATTCGGGACACTGAAACTGTAAAGATATCCAGAATGTTACCTTATTGGCACTCTTGCTGGGCTATATTGCTTTACTTAATTTGAGTTTTTTTTGGCTTTGAGCATCATTGAAATGATTTAGAACCCTCTCGGGCATGTAGTTCTAAACTTCTAAGGTGCCTAAAATTTGTTTCTTCATTCCCTCCAGGAAGTTGGGCATTTTCTTGCTGCCTTGCCAAAGAAAGTGAAGTTGAGCATTCCCTTCTTCATTCCCAATATTACTCTTGGAAGCTTTGGAGCAATCACTCAGGTGCGCATATCCGACTCTCACTTGAGTTCTTTGAGATCTGTGAATAGATATTGAAAATTCGGATATCCATTCAAATCATATCTAGCTTACGTGCTCCATATTTGTGTCACAAACATGGTCATATCTTTCTTGGAAGATATCCCTTACAAAGTTTATATCCATTGGTTGCTACATATACTCTTTTTAATACGAAAATTACAAAATTATTCATCAATTCTCATCAAGTATTAAAAAACATGTAAATCCAGAAAACACTTGATGCTGATCCTTTGTCCAGGAAAAAATGGATACATTCATATTCACATATGATACAAGCAGGTGTGAATATGTATATACATTTGATTGGGTTACACCCCTAGCCTGAGATTTGGACCATTAAAAGATGGGCCAAATCTTAAAATTTTATTTGATTCTGCCACTTCTACGTTCTTTTCTCAATCAAGACACTTTTCATCTGTAAATCCTTGGACGACACTTGATTGAATCGACAAATGTTACTTTTTAAGTAGAGAATTAGCATATTATATCAGGTTCACTCCAAAAAGTACCTCCATGATCTTGTTATTCTCATCAACCGCTGGAGAAGCCAAACATGTGCAGTTTAATAGCTAAAAATTAGAGGTATAAAGGGTTTTAGTCTTATGAAAATAACATATTTTTCTTGGATCTTGCAGTTTAAATCGATTCTTCCTGATAGAAAGACAAAAGTCGACATTTCTCTAGCAGGCCCATTTGCAGGGGCTGCACTATCACTTTCAATGTTTGCCGTTGGCCTGCTGCTTTCATCAAAACCAGATGCTGCAGCCGATATGGTGCAGGTTCCTAGCATGCTTTTCCAGGGATCTTTACTTCTCGGACTCATCAGCAGAGCCACACTAGGTTATGCGTAGGTCTTCCTCCTCTGCCATTTTTTCAAGAAATTAGGGATGCTATTTGAATGAGGGAGGATCGAACGAGAACAAGGTCAAAATGAGAAAACACGATGAACAGCCAAATCACATGTGCTTTTTCACTGAAATAACATGTAATTACGGAACACGGTCAACACAAGGGTGAGCGGATGACTTGGCCCAGGCCTGCAACCTAAGGTTGCAGCTAAATTTGCACAAATCACATGTGATTTTACACGTGATTTTAGTGTAAAATAAAATGATTTGGCCATTCTCACTTTCTCTTATTTGGTCACTGTTCTCCTATGAAGCCGGCTGTGATATTTGAACACATAATCACCAGGCTACGGCTATCACTGTTGTCGCATTATGCCTTCCTTGCACAAATAAATGTATTTAAACTTCTACTGTAAGTTCAAATGAGAATCATAAATATTTTGATAACCTAACCCTTTCATTTTCATGAATTATTCACGATGAATAATCAAGAATATCATGCATTTCCATCATGAATATCATGTACTTTAATTATGAATAATTGTCATCATGAATATCACGGCATTCATCACGAATAAAACATGAATAGTTGGTCCAAAGTTCTCAAAATTTTAATTTGAACTCGTCCATCTATTTATTTTCTCTTTGTTTAATGGGATTATGACATTAGTTCATAATTGTTATTTGACACTTATTGTTGTCTATGCAGTGCAATGCATGGAGCCACAGTGTCCATCCATCCACTTGTAATTGCTGGCTGGTGATGTACTGTTCTTGGATGTTATTACTTTTCAATGCAACATTTCTCTTTTCAATTGTTGTTCCTAGAATTACCTCACACATTCCTCAATAATTACAAAATATTGATATCATTGATGTGGGTCCACAAAATTCTTTTGATTGTCGTTATCGAGGTGCATTTTAGATATTTGACTAATAAATATATGCTGAAATGTTGCATCTATTTTGTGATAAGGTATTCGGAATCTGGTTTGCTTATTGTAAATTGTCTTTGCAGGTGTGGTTTGACTACTTCGGCTTTCAATATGCTTCCAGTTGGATGCCTCGATGGCGGAAGAGTGGTTCAGGTTTTTGTTTAAAAATTTGATTCTATTGGTGATTAAACTATTATTCGGTTTGTCTGTACGATTGTGACCTTAAAGGCACCGTTATGCATCTATCAGGGTGCTTTTGGGAAGGATGCGCTCGTCGGATTTGGTTTGACAACCTACTCATTACTCGGGTTTGGAGTGGTATGCCGCCTTCTTAATTCCACCATATATTGCTCTGTTATAATTTATTTGAAGTTATATCTTTTGGAGATTCATATTTGTAGCCAAGAAAATGAGATCATGACAACACTATTAAAGTCTTGTTTGGTACCTTCTCGTAAATGCATCGTTGCAACCAGATTACGTAGAATGAGTTCTTGATTTTGCTGTTCCTGAATGCAGCTCGGTGGACCTTTATCGCTTCCTTGGGGATTGTATGTGCTGATATGCCAGGTACGAATTTCTGTGGTCTCTAGATGCACGAGTTTGTTGTTCGTCGTGTGGCTTAACTTATCATGCTACCCTTGTTAGACTGCAAACTACAGAAAAAATTAACAGACTGCTTTATAGTTCTTTAAGTTTATAGGACCAAACAATTAATCTTCCTATACAATGAGTTAATAGGATGCTTTTGAGTGTCCTAACAAATTTTTTAGGACAGCTGAAATAAAACGTCCTATTAGTCTTTTTCTAATGACATTGTCGAAAAAAAGTATTTTATAAAAAAAAGTGTCCTATAAAAAGATGTGTTGGCGTGACACTTCTCAAAAGTGTCATATAAGAAAAGTAACAAGACATCTTTATTTTAAAAGGGTCGTAAAAAGTTGTTAGGATGTCCAAATACGTTCTAACGTCCTATTGTAACACCTTTACATAGGACGCACAATTGTTTGCTCATATAAACTTAAGTCCTATAAAACAGTTTATTAGGACATTTAGGCATATTTGGTGTCCTATAAAGTTGATGTTGTAGTGGCATTAATATGAGATTTTATTAATATGCAATGTTATGTTTTGATAGAGAACGCCGGAAAAACCTTGCCTGAACGACGTGACGGAGGTTGGGACATGGAGAAGAACAGCGGTTACGGTGGCGATATTCCTAGTTGTTTTGATACTTTTACCAGTATGGGACGAGCTAGCCGAAGAGTTGGGTATTGGTCTTGTAACCATATTTTGAACTGTAGAACAAAAATCATACATATATTAATCTACAGTTTCAGATTTAATGGAAAGCCAGTAAAGTTCTTGTTAATTCTTTTCTATGGCCCTGCATCTTCCTTGCCAACACTATTGAAGATCGCCAGCGCTGAATCCGCCATGGCTGATCCACTACAGATATGTGGGTGGTCGTCGGCGCTGGCATTGATTTTATTGGTTGTTTGCTTGTAGTATGATTGCTGACAGTGCTCATGTCAGCCGTGGTCGGTTTGGTGGGAGTATGGGTGTAAACGAGTCAAGTAGCAGGTTTTTCAAGCTCGGCTTAATCGGGTTCGAGATCGAGCTCGAATATTTTTTCATTGTTTAGCTCGAGCTCGATGCTCGTTTATGAGCTCGAATTTGAGATCGATTAACTCGTTTATTTACCTAAGCTTGATCATTTTTATATTTCGATTATACATATATGTTTGACTCGAAAAAGCGTATGCTCGGATGGCTCGACTCGACTTATAAAGCTTAATCGAGCTTTCGAACAAGTTGAATCGAACATTGGTGTTATGGAGCTCGACTCCTTAAGTAAAACGAGCTTTATTTTATGTTCGAGATTGACTCGAGCTCGAGATAAATGAGCTCAAGCTCGAGTCGCTTGTTAAAAGCTCGACTCTTTTACACCCCTAGGTGGGAGTCCGGGAAGGCGTGAAGCCACCCAAGTGTCGGTTTGAACATACTTTTGGCTGGAAAGAAAGAAGAAGAAAATGCAAAAATTCATAAACGTTGCATTACATGTTATTTGTTTTGATCATATTGACATGGCAGAACAACAACTAATTCATGAGGGAAACGCTGCAAGTTTCTTTATTAGAACTACGGGATTCATCGAGGATGAAACATTTGTTCGGCAAATGCTAAAAGGTCTCCGCTTCCTTCTCCATTTTCACCATAAGGTCGAGAAAATTGAAGAGGATCGAAGCTCGGCTGCAAATCAACAGCAGTCTGATGATCACCTGCAAGATTATTCTGACTCGACTGAAAGCTGCTCATATTAATCATGTTGTTATTGGAAGCATTTGAATACTCCGGCTGCAGCCATCTGGGGTGGTGCACCGCCTGTGGTTGCTGCAGTGAACCCTGGAGAGCGTTTGCCGCCATAACTCTGTTGTTTATCAGCTGGTTCTGCACCATTGCTAGCTCTGCTTGCAAAGCTGCTACCTGCAACGACAAACATCATCGTAATTACACCATAAGATTAATCCCGCCCTCCAGGTACAACCTTGTGTAATACGTCAAATATGTCTAAATATCCTAATAGACTGCATTATAAGACTCCAGTTTATAAGACCAAATAATTACGCGTTCTATGTGAAGTGTTACAGTAATTCATATGAAACTTCTCAAAAGTGTCCTATAATAAGCTGATACGACATTTTAATTCGAAAATTCTCTAAAAAACTTGCTAAAATGCTCAAAAACGTCTTATCAGTTTATTGTAACACATTTATGTAATTTATTTGGTCCTATAAACAAAGTAGTGTATTGTGTTGTACTAATCGTAGTTATAAGGCAATCTTGTACCTGTTGTTTCAAAGCAACGACTGTTGAGACGCAACCATAAACAGGGTCCGACAACCTAGCTTGAGCTTCATACGATATGGTCACAACCGCATGGTTTCGCCAGTGGACTGGAAGGTGCATCAGGAGCTTCGACACGTTGCTGGCTCCGAACACCTTGTGAACCGCAGCAAACAGTGCAGCACCCTGGTCCGAGCTAAAATGGGGTGCAAAGATGCAACCTTTGACACACTTCCTCCTCAAGAACTTGCAGGCTCCACAAGGAGTGGTTGGAGTTGAACCTGATTCTGGCGGTGCCGCCATCTCCGATGGTCCAATGGCCCGCTTTCCAGCGCCCTTCCGCTGACCACCTGATGAACTGCCACCACCATTTAGCTCTTCCATGCTGTGAGTCTCTTAAGAAATGCTATTAGGGCCCGGGGTTATATAATCAATTAAAGGGAAAATGACATAAAGATTCCGTGAGTGGTTGGCGAGATGAGCAAAGATAAGAAACGAGTTTTTCAATCGATGGTTAAATACGCCTGAATAAAGTTAATACTTAACAAAAAATGCTAATTATGACCATTATTATGTACGGAACAGTACATCAAAGGATCTACACATCAAAAGTAAAGGTTTCTTAGGTCATTCTTCATGGTTTTCCCACATTAGATAGCACAAGATTTTTGCTGCATTTGGCGTGTTGAATGCTACCCAAAACATACCAAATCCCCAGGTATCTATATATAGAAATATACCAAGGAAAATGTGACCAAATTACATCGGAAACCGTATATGTTTCTTTCGACGGGATTCGCGGAAAAGTGCATCAATCGTGAATATTGACTGTCACGCTTCTCGGGTTTCTTGTTTTTTTCTCAACCAGAGTACTTTCCGGTAGGTGATTGCAATCGATTATAGTAAAAACCGATCATCTATAAGGTTAGCATCAGGAATTGAGGTACGTTTTCTGAATGTTTTATGAACCATTGAACTCCAGGGATCAAGTGTCGTTTAGGCCACTCGAGTACACAAAATTTAATAAGGATACGTACCTGACTTCTATGATCACATAGCAAATTCTGCAAGTTTGCAGAAAAGGGTATGACACCACCCTATGGTCACATAGGTTGGTGGTAACTGGAGTTGAACCCCAGACCTCCCACTCATTCTGCAAGGATGTCCACCTCCTTACCTACTTTACGTAGCTAATGTTGCATAGAAAAGACAGCTTTGAGGGATTCTTTTGTATTCTGTTTTGTAAGGAAAAACTCACACAAAAAGGGGTAAAAAATAGCAGGATGCATCCTTCGATTACTGAAAAACCGGAGTGGGATTACTTGCTTATGATAAAATATCAGACTTTGTTATTACACCTTCTTCTTGCATCTAAACGTTATGAAACTTAACATAAACTGATAAAACTATCTACGCTTGATAGAAATCAGCGAGCTAGAATGATCCTAATACTCTTTACAATCGAAAGTCCCTTGGATGATTTGATATGTACCTCTTGCAGATGGTTGGATCGTAACGCTACTGCTGTGTGATTGCAAGTTGTGCAGATGAGACCGGAGATCCTTCGCTACTGTGCCAGGACTCCTGAACCTGTGCGGCAAATTGTAAATTCCAAAGCATGTCCTCCACCGATGGTCTCTCTGCTGGATCGTCCAGCAAACACCTGCTGCAGATTTCTGTCGTTGTCTTTAAAGATTGATCGGAACACGCGTTCTGGACCCTGGGATCAACCATGTCCCTGATAGATGCATCATCGGCTGTCATTCTGGCCTGAAACTGCAAATCGCAAAACCCCGTGTCAATACCCTACAATTAATGCCCCCACATTGGTGTCCTTGGAGGCGGTTTCCGTGTGGGGCCGGTTGGGGTTGCCGGTAATCAACTTTTTGCCCAAACACACTACAACAAAATCGGCTTTTACAGGACGCTAGATATGTCTATATGTCATAATAGACTTCTTTTTAAGACATATGTATATAGGATCAAAACAAGCGCGCGTCCTACGGGAAAGGTGTTACAATAAGTTGATAGGACACTTTAGGACAACAAACCAACGTTTTAAGAACACTGACCTGTTCTTTTACAGACTCGACTTCCTTTTGCGTGCATAGTGGTTTCCCGAAGATGATTTCGAGCAGTATAACACCAAAGTCGTACACATTAATTTTCTCCGGATGGCCAACGCTTGTACGGTTAGGCTCTTTGAATCTGCTGAAATAACCTCGATCGCCATCCTGTTGCATCAAGTATTGAGCTAACATCACGATTCTCGTTTGACATAGATGCTACTATCTTTTGTTCACGATATATTTCATCATAGTACCTTCTCGATATTCCCGACTAACAATGGCAGGTTGTAGCTGCTAATCTTAGCAATGAAATTCTGATCCAACAAAACATCTGTTATCTTCAAGTTGCTCGAAAAGAACCAGGGCACGACACTCGTATGAAGGAACTGAATGCCCTTCACTATACCAATAGCAGCTGCTATTCTCTGGCTCCACGACAACGTTTTTCCGCTGTTCTGCCCTATTTAGACATATCGAGTTAGCAGCGGAATTTCTAATTCATGTGATTATTAGAAGTTTATATCGGGCAAAGGGTAAATAGTCCAGGTCACGCGTGTGAGTTTTGCTGTATATAAATAGGGAAAAGTCCAAAAAAACCCAATGAATTTTCCCGCTCTGAATGATTTCTAAACTTCTTTTTGAATGAATAAACCATTGAAATTTCTCATTTTAAATGATTAAGTCCCTGAACATTTTTTTAATAAATAAATCATCGAACTTTTCGAAGTTTGTTACATACATCATTTTAACCTAAAAAAGCAACCTGTACTTAGGCTTTGAAAGTTCCAAAGTAAAAAAAACATAAATCACATTCCCAAATCCTACATCATCCATGCCCCTCGCACCAGGTGCATCGCTCCCCCTCACCGCCCCAATCGTTTTATCGCCCTCCATCACCGACAATCATCGTTATTAGCCCTTGCTATCGATAGTTTATTTATTAAAAAAATGTTCGAGTGAACTTTTCCCATATAATATTATATAATTTAAAAGTTTATATCGAGTTTTACCCGAAATCCAGTCTCGAAGCGTTCCATTCGGTATGTATTCGAACACGAGGAATAGCCTGCTGACACTCGAGTCATCGAGGTAAAACTCGAAGCAGTGGCCGAGAGCGCTAACCAAATGCTGGTGTCTGAGTTTCGAGATTAATTCTATGTGATGCGTAAATGTTTGCGTGCTGTGATTTCGTTTCATTTTCAGGCATTGAATAGCTACGTACGATCCATCCTTAAGCCGACCTCTGTACATCTGATCTTCGATAAAGAAGTCAATATATGTTAGATAAAGAAAAGGCAAAATGCGTCGGTTTGGTTTAGTTCCCATTTAGTGTAACGAGATATTTTAGTCTCAAAAGGAAACGATAAAGATTGCAAAAGCAAGCAGAATGTACCTGACCGTAAGACCCTTTGCCCATGAACGCAGATGTATCGAAGCTATTCGTAGCTTCCTCGAGTTCCTCGAGCGAGAAGGCGCGATAAGCCGGAACACCAAGCGTTCCAAGCTTCATTACTCGAGTAACATATCCTTCGAGATGAAAACATTATTCATTGTTAAACATCACAAAACAGTTTGACCCAAAAAGTCAAAGCACAATCGGATGAACTTCGTGTTCAAGATAGAACACTTACTTGCATCCGAAAGCAACTTCGAAGTGTAAGAACCGGACGCGTTTTCCGCTATTATTCTAGGCGCAGGCGTTTTGCCCGTCTCCTTCCCATGAACTCGCCGGAAAACCAAGAATGCTATGCCAACTAATACGATCCCTCCGATGATTCCCCCGGTGATCCCGACCGCAAGAGCTGTTTTCGAGCCCTTACCAGTCTTGTGGTTTCGTGGTATGACTCCGACAGCCAAAGCTTCGTTACTACAAAACGATATCGGCTTTTGACTTTTGACGTCATCGCCATTGTTTGTAGTCAAACAATTCTGGTCATAGACCACATTCCGGGCCTTGGAAGACACAAGACAACTCGGCAGCCTCCCGGTTAGAAGATTAGCAGACAAGTCGACAAATTCAAGTTCAGGATTACAAGCGAGATCCTCGAAAAGCATTCCCGTAAACTTGTTCCCTTCGATGTCTAAATGAGTCATCGATGGTAAAGATAGTATAGAAGTCGGAAATGGTCCGACTAATCGGTTTAAAGCTATATCTAGCCTTCTAAGCTGATAAAATGAACGCACTTCTTCAGGTAAACCAGAGGCGAACCTGTTCTTCCGTACAACAATGGAGATGATTCTATCGGTGACCCGAGGAAACTGGGGTCCGAGAGAATTATCTTCGAGTTCAAGAACCTGAAGGTTCGTCAAACTGCGAAGATCCGGCACTTGGCCGGATAAATTATTGTGAGAAAGCACAAGAACTCGAAGATCAACCAAACTCCCTAACGAATCCGGCAACAACCCGTTTAGCGAATTGTTCTTCATACTCAAAACCGACAAACGCGATAAGAACCCAACAGGGTTCGGGATCCAGCCGGTGAACTTGTTGTCGTCGAGCACCAGCGATTGTAGATCGGTTAAAGTCGCAATTTCTGGCGGGATTTCCCCCTCGAAGTGATTCGAAGTAACGTTGAGTATTTCTAGCGACGATAAATAGGAAATTTTCGCGGGTAAACGTCCCCACAAACCCAACGAGACCAATGTGAGCACTTTCAAACCCGAAAGCCTAACGAGTGTCGTGAAAAACGAATCTATCGAGAAGTCATCAGGCAGTCGAGGCGATTCATCGCTATCGATTATGTGAAGTTGGGTTACGACATTTTCGTAGCAAACGACGGTAACCGATGAGCTTTGGCTGGTGTTGCAGAAGTCAGTGGCATTATTCCAGCTACTAAGAACAAGGGGGTAATACAGAAGGTGTTGGATTCTCAAAAGGGTTTGTTCTTGAGAGGCATTGTATGAGTCGGAGCCCAGATTGGGTACAAACAAAACTGCAAGGAGTACAACCACTGATTGCCACGAACAAGAAATCTTGGCCATTGCAGATAGATAGATACAGATTCTTGGCTGCTTTGTTCAAGATCCTAAAAAGAAGAACAAATCAAATCAAGAACTTGATGAAATTGAAGAAATTAACACTTCCCCATTTCAAGAAACAGTAATTTATGAACTGGGAAATCGTTATTTTCGATTCTTGTAACCCTAATTTACATCAAATTATCATGTTTTCGAAAGATTTATGGTCAAAGATTCAGAGAAATTTCAAGATTATTAAATGAAGGGTTACCTCTTCCCAATTGGAGGTACGAACGATGAAGATGAAACTGAGTGGGTCCAATCGAATACGAATTCTTTCTTTTGCAAGATGGAATCCAAATCAAACCCACATGATTTCATGTGCAGATAGAGACAAAGAGAAGAACAGGTTAGCAAACATCATTAAACACTCAGAAAACATAATGTCTTTGAAACGAAGTCAAATGATCATACGTTTGACTTCAATTTCAATCTAAAACGACAACCTCCAAATTGGGTTTTCCTAAATTCAAGAAGTAGCATCAATGGCTTCTCTCCCTTTCTCTCTTACACACAGTTATACACACACATAGTTAAGTATACTTGTCTTCTTGAACAATCATTATCTTGAAAAGGAGGCAATTTCAAGATTCCCACACACACAGAGTTACGTGTTCTTGAAAAAGCTTCAACTTTAGAGCTTTAATGGAGGCAGTGGGTGATGAAAAAGAAAAGGATTTATGGGAAGATTCCTGCTTTAATTCCCTTCACCTCCATATGTGTGTGTTTTCAGTGTGTGTGTGTGTGTTTTAATGCACCTGCAGAAAGGCTGCAAGATACACACATTGTATATATCTTCTATTTACCGGGAAAAAGATAAAGAGGTTGCATAAAGTATCCATGTGTCTCTGTTTGTGACCAACGTACTTTTTTTATATTTTATTTTATTTCGATTTTATTTAGAGTAAATCACAAGAATCGTCCCTAAAGTTTGTGACAACTTTGGTTTTCGTCCCTAACTTTTGGAAATTACAAAGACGTCACTTAGTCGTTACGGAAATCATCCCTGACCCTTATAGTCGTTAGGATCGTTCAATAGGTACCTTCATGTGTAAAAGTGAACACGGGTTGTGTTGATCCGGTTACAAACATTTGAATATTCCAACCTAATGAATGCGGGTTATGAAAAATCTCAACCAACCCAGACCAAACAAAAATACGATCCAATCCAACCCAAAGAGTGTGAGTTAGGGGTTGTTTACTAGTAGCTTATCACCTCTTACCGGCAAAAATCTCTTACTGGGTAAGAGGCGCTAGTGTTTACCAATAAGAAAACTAATAATCATCTCTGACCGTGCACCTACCACCCTCAGAGAGGAAATTGTATCTTACCCTGTTAAGAGGTCAACTTTCACTTATTTACCCTCTCCAAAACCTAAACCTGCTTTCTTTCTTTCTCCGTAGCTGTCTTCAAGCAATGCTCCATTACACAATCATCTTCTTCCTCCACAAATATTGAGATAAAACACTTCAACAGAGACGAGATCGGGAGACTCAACCAGGGAGGGGGCTGCTTTCTTTACGTGATTACATTTGATTAAAAAACACAGAAGCCAAACATGGAGATACAGGTTAAAGAACACAAAGAACACAAATCAGGGATTGTTGGGTTTTTATACTATAGTGGTGCACATGGGATGCTTTCTTTTCTTTTTCTTTCTTTCTCCATTATTAATTGTGTGAGCTCGAGACCATCAGATCAGTTGAAAGCTATCTTTATTGCTTAGGGACATGTCTGGGTTGAGGACCATGAGTAGGCTCATAGGCTGAGTGGGTGATGGGGAAGATTGATAAATTCAAATTATATCATTTGCTTTTATAATTTTTTCCCTCTATATATGTTCTTTGTCGACATTGCAACAGCCTCGTCATTCTCATCTTCTGATTATGCTTTTATTTTTTCTTTTTTTTAAATACCTTTTTGTGTTTTTTATGTTTGAGTTCATTTAATATCTTTTTGTTTTTTGATATTGTACCCATTCAACAACACTAGGATATTTGGAAGGAAAAATGGATGTTCTAAAGCACATGGTATTTGGAAAAATGTCAAAAAAAATACAAATTTAGACTAAGGGCATAATAGTCTTTTTATTCAATCTATGCTTGATATAAAACGTTTAGTAAATAAGAGAATTTTCAGTAAGTACTTATCTCAACCAGACTTCTTAACCGAGTCAGTACTTGTAACACCCCCAAATCCACACGTTGCATATAACACATATTTCATACATAGAATACATGTTTTCTCCACATAGGTCCATAAAACAAGAGACTATGCTATAAAATGTACAACTCAAAATTCAAAATACATGCTCTTGTATAATATCCATTCTCCAAAACTCATTCAGATATGAGCTTCATAATTCTAAGCACATAGGGAAGTAATCATAGAATATATTCTTTCCCTATTATCGTTACCTGCACACATATTTGAAAACACAAAATGAGGGTTATACATGAATGTCTAGTGAGATTCCCTTTTTATGTAATGCAGAGTGAGAATCACCAAATCATTTAAACCATTTCACATAGAGAGGAATAAAATCACATTCTGTTTAAGTCCATCGGACCTCTGGTTCCAAAGAACACACTTAGAAAATATTTTAACTAATAAGAGAACCAGAGCCCCTCTGGTTCCTCTACCAGAGTTTCTGGTTAAACTAACCAGAGCCTCTTACTTAAATAAAATTCCCAAAAATGTTCATCTATCAACATTATAGATATTAACATAGCTTTTCCAAGGATAAAAGTATATTTTGAAAATATCATGTAGGACCAGAGCCTCTGGTTCTACTAGCTAGAGCTTCTGTATCTTCATGCTAGACCAACCAGAGCCTCTGGTTCAACCCGTATAGGCCAACCAGATCCCCTCTAGTATGTTTTCATAAGAAAAGTTTCTAAGTATAAAAATTTTACGAATACAGAGCCTCTGGTTTAACTAAAACGTTGTAAAAGACTTGTATAATTTTCAAACTATCATCCAGAACCCTCTAGTTCTATATTGAGGAACAACCAGAGCCCCTCTAGTTCTTTATAAAATGAACATTCCGTTCCAACACATTTTTAACCAATACCAATGGCCATAGGCCAAGTTTCCCCCTTCTCAATAACGTTAATACTATTATTTCTAATAAGAACAACATCTTTGAGTTCTCAAATCACAAAGAAGTAAGGACTCAAATCTATTGTAGTCTTAAAAGACATAATAGTAAGAGCTATAATATTCACACACAATTGCTACCCTTATATCCAAAGGTACCTCTCTTCTTGATATGTCACCCTTATTCCAAAAGACACCTCTCCTTGATATGTCACCCTTATTCCAAAAGACACATCTCCTTGATATGTCACCCTTATTCCAAAAGACACATCTCCTTAATATGTCACCCTTATTTCTTCTTCAAAATCTATGAACTAGTTCGGATGAAGGACCGCAGTCCAACCATCTTATCGAATCCTCATTCATAGTTTTATCCATAAAATCTATAGATTAATTCCAAATGAAGACAAATCAAAATCACAATCGTCTCAAAAGAATATTCTCTATAGTTTTCAACCAACAGTTTTATCATCAAAACCTTTCAAACTCAAGAACAATCTATTCTTTCAATAATTTCCAAAACATCATATCCCTTTTAAATTCTCAAAACAGGATATTATTTCCCAAACTGTTTTAAAGAAGCAATCTCTTCTTTATCTTTCCCAAAACAGTTTTTAATATTCAAATATATAACAATAACGCCTTTAAACTATCAAAATAGTTTTACCATCTTTTCTTCAAAACCAATATCAAAACCCAGCAGTTTATATAACAATATATATAAAGGTTTTAATCATCAAAAACTCACCTTAATAATCACAGATTCTGCAGTTTTAAAACACATAGCAAATCACAAGCTCTTCAAACAGTTTTGAACAAAAGATTTATTTAAGAACACTTCTCACCGCCACAACACTCTTTTTCTCTTTCAACAGGTTTTTCTCCAAATGAAGTGATAAGATAGAATCTTATCTCTTTCTTTCTTTAAATACTCTCACCATGGCGGTGGAGATTATTTTAATTATTATAAAACTAATAGGCGGTGAATCATTTATCCAATAGAAATATCTTTGGGTGGTGAGTTTTTTATTATAAAATTCATGATTTCTTAACCATGAAGGTTTGGATTATAATAACATCCCACATATAACATATTATATTATCATATAACCTATATAAAGTTTCAACATGTATGCATAATATCAAATTACCACACATGTGCACATAATTCATGCATGCTATCACATAATAAACACATAGAGTTACCTTGACTAGGTTTGCAGAAAACCCAGTTATAACATTACTTACCCACAGATTTTGGTAAACAGCCCCTTAGTCTGGTTGAAACTTTTGTACATCAAAATATTTTCATTTGTCACCTTAATATGGTGTTTTCCGTACTCATAATTCATTTACTCATCATCAATCAATTATACAATTTTTAAAGTAGATCATATTTAACTCTTTTTCTTAATTTGCATATATATGTATTATCATATTTGCTGAACATATATATGAAAACAAAGGCAAGAGTTATATAGCGATAAAGAAGGGATTTAAAGTATATCTATAAGAGGAATTTAAAGGATATGTATATCAAGAACTTAAAGTATATGTATATGAAGACGGTGATGGTTTTATGTACATATTAACAAATGACTTAATCATTGTATTAAATCAAAGGATATAAGGGTATTAGATTCATCGGGTTGAGTTGGGTTGAAATAATTCTAACCCAATTTCAACTCAATATCTATGGTTTAAAGATTTTACAACTCAATTAAGAATCATATGACTTCGGGTTGATTTATTTTGGGTTGGGTTCGTCAGAGCATTTCAGTCATTTTGTATGTATTTTAGTAAGCCTTTTTACCCTTTTCCTTTTATTGTATTTTAGTACGAGTTTTTAAAGTTTATGAATAAGCGATTAAAACATTTTTAATAAAAAAATTATGATAAAAAAAACCTCATCACCAATAATATTTTGCTTAAAAATATCAACAACTGCAAGAAAACAATACCAAATTTATGAAGAAAATATCATACAAAATTATGAAGAACATCACCAACATTTTACTTTTTATTCCAAAATTTTGTACACAAATCATAACGTAAAAACCCTAAAATCAGAATCCTAAAATTAACAATGATGTTAGCCTACAGTTGCCGCTAGATTTGTTGCCTACTCCAAAACTCTCATTGCGTCTGGGCCACTAATCATTAGGGGTGAGTATAGGCGGGTACTCGTCCTATTTGACAGGAACCGGCGGTTCTTGAGATATTGGAACCGGAACCGGTTAGAACGGTTCTTGAATTTTTGGAACCGGAACCGTCGGGAACCGCTTCCTAAAATATTAAAATTTTGTTATTTAGAAATAAAAAATAAAGCATTGCCAAAACACTAAATAAATAAACAAAAATACAAATTATACGGAATAATGGTTACAAATATTGTTTAACGATTACAAATCATAATAGACTAATAGAAAATGTTGAAAGTTTAACGATTACATACTATAATTGTAAATGTTCAAAGTTTAACGATTATATACTACGTATCCAATTAAACACACAATTTGAAAGAATACGAATCATTTTATCTCGTGACTGCAATGATTCTGAATCTCGTTTCTAATTCTCACGGTGAGAGGCCTCAGGCCCGAGAGTATGAG